CTCGAGCGGAACGGGGGCGGGGGGGGGTTGGAACCGTGTTGTTATTGGTTTGGCGCACCCCCGTTCTCAACAACCCGGGTGACGTCGTCCCCGCCCACCGCCAGCGCCCCATTCTCCAAGCCAGGCGTCGTCGCCGCGGACTCGGGCTCCTCGGGTATCGTCGCGAACTTCTGCAGCACCTGCTTCAGCGCGGGCCTGCGGATCGGTTTGCTCAGGAACTCGTCCATCCCGGACTCCATGCACTCCCTGACGTTGCTCTCCTCGGAGAACGCCGTCAGGGCCACGATGGGGCTCTTGTACCCCATCCCGCGGATCAGTCGCGTGCTCTGCAGGCCGTCGACGTTGGGCATCTGCACGTCCATGAAGATGACGTCGAACCCCCTGTCCGCAGCCATCGCCGCCTTGACCTGCTCGTACGCCTCCTGCCCGTCCTTGGCCACCGTGACGTCGTACACGTCCTCGAGCTTCAACATCTTGCTCACCACCTCAATGTTGGTCGAGTTGTCATCCGCCACCAGCACGCGCAGCCTGGCGCACGCCCCGGGGTGGCCCTTCTTCGCCGCCAGCGCCGTCTCGACCGTCGCGAGCTTGGCCTGGGTGCTCTGGGGCGCAGGGCGGTCCGACGCAAAGAAGGGCTGGCGCAGCCCGACGAGGCGCGGCTGCGGGTCAAGTACCGATGCCGCCTTGCTTTCCGGGTTGGGGCGGACAGTTGAGGACGGCTTGCCCTTGCATTCGGAGTCCCCGCTGTCTATATCGACCTTGTGGGACCTGATGCTGCTGGACGCGGTGCTAGGAGTTCTGCTCAGATAGGTCAGGATTTCATCTTCGTGAATAAAGAATTGAAGGGGGGGGGTAGAGAAATAGAGGTCAGTTAACGGGCGAGGCTTACCTGTCCTTGAGGTACTTCAGCGGGATCTGCATCGTGAAGACAGATCCCACCCCCACCGTACTCCTCAGCGTGATATTGCCACCCATGAGATTCGCCAACTGCTGGCATATACTCAGGCCCAGACCCGTTCCCCCAAACTTCTTGCTGAGCCCCCAGTCGCCCTGCACAAAGGGCTCAAACACCTGCTGCTGCATGGCCTCCGGAATCCCCGGCCCCGTGTCCTCAACCTCGAACTCGAAGACAAACGACTTGGCGTTCGGCGGCGGCGGCGTTGGGGAGCGGCCCCGCGTGGGGTACTTGAGCTCCGTTGCATTCATCGGCTCCATCGGATTGATCGCCAGCGCCGTCCCCTGGGGCGCGACAGTACCCGCGGAGTGCGTCGACGTCGAGCCCAACCTTTTGCGGGATTTGCTGCCCGGGTTGGACGACGAGGACGAGCGGCTGACATGGTGCCCGACGGCCTCATCCGTCTCGCCGAGGCACCTTATCCTGACCTCAACCTTGCCGCCCTTGGGCGTGAACTTAAGGCTGTTGCTCACGAGGTTGATGATGACCTGGAGGATGCGGTGCTGGTCGCCGTAGAGGCACATGTCCTTTAACCTTCCGGTCCCCTGGGGACCCATGGCGGGAATCTTGAACTCGACGCCGTTCTTGACCTGGCTCACGAGATCCACACTCTCGACCTGGAGGAAGAGGACCGAAAAATTAATGTTGCTCTCTCGTACCTGTTTGTCGAAGATGGTCAGGATCTGCGAGCGTATGTCTATGAGGCTGAACTCCTTTTGTTCCAGGGCCAGCTGCTGGCCAATCTGGTTCTTGGAGAAGCTCAACAAGTCTTCCAAGAGGTGGAGTAATAGATCGCCTGTTTCGTGTGAGTAACCAATTATCTCGCCAGTTTCAAAGTAGAAGTAGGAGTAGAGAGTGTGAGAGGGATAGATAGAGACAAGGAGGATCAGGTGTTCGAGACAGGGGCGGCAGGGTACAGGACATTGTGAGACATACCCGACTTATATAGAGTCCGTAGCGATTGCTTTATCTTCCCTACGTCGTCTTCCTCCATACATACGGCAGCCAGCCCCATGATGCCGTTTAGAGGCGTCTTCAGTTCGTGAGAGATGTTCGCGATGAACAGTGTCTTACTCTCGTTCGCCGCCTCGGCCGCCTTCTTGCTGATCTCTAGCTCCCTTGTCCTCACGGCCACCTTGTCGTCGAGCACCGTGTATTGCTTCAGAAGCTCGTCTCTCATATCATTGAACGTTTTCGTCAGTTCTGTCAGCTCGTCCGTGATGAAGTGCTTCCGGTCCTTCACCTTCCCCGGGATCTTGAACGGAAGCAGGTCCGCATCGGCAGGAGTCTTTGTCGTCGGCCTCGGCGCCGGCGTAGGTAGGATGCCCACGGTAGTTAGCATGTTGTCGAACCAGCCCTTGTTGGACACTTGCGAGCGCTGCGAGCTGTGGGTTCCCGAGCCAGGCGTCTCGCCATCGCCCCCCTCAAAGTGCGCGTCGAAGTACCCGTCCTCGTAGCCCGGAGGGGCCACCGTCTTCTCTGTCGCCGACTTAAGTCGCCTAATGGGCATGACGCTAATGTGTGCGCAGGGATACGTGAGTGAGAATATGGCGCCGGCCGTCCCGAACACGCAGGCCAGGAGGATTTTAGTTAGGCCATTGATCGGTTCATACGCCTCCTTACGCGCCTGCTCGACGATCACGGTCCAGTTCACGAGGCTCGAGTCCGTGCGGGCGAACCCGACGGCGACGTCGGCACCCTGCTCGTTCGTCGTCGAGAGCATCGCACCCGCGCTATTGACAGTCTTGGGAGGGTTGACAAGTGCCTCCCGTATCGCCGGGTACTTGGCTAAGGGGAATAGCCCGGTGTGGTTGGTCTTGTAGATGCCCTCCATGTGGCGGCTCTCGCCGGCCTTCGGAATGGAGGGGAGCAGATAATGTACGTCGACGTTTTCGAAGTTTTCGTTAGGAGGGGGGGACGATAGGAGGGATTGGATCGTCGAGTTGAATCGGTTTGCGGGGCTGTCAGGCCCCGCGAGGAGGAGGACACCCGTATCCCCTAAGCCTTCGGCCGAATAGGCATTGGCGATGAGTTTGGCTGCCGAGGCGACGATCGTTAAGAAGCCAAGGGCGAAGGTCGGCACGTCGTTGTCCCAAATGGGTAGCGTCACAGACACTAGGGAGAAGCTCTCGTTGATAGATAGCGGTCCGAGCAGGAGACCGCTCGGATGCGTCAGGGAGATGTTACCTAAGGTATATGCCCCCCATTCGGTAAGGTTGTTCTCCTTGTTCGTTGTGCCGAGATTCTCATAGGTGATGTTAGGGAAGAGGGCGCTCGAATATGGGTCGTTGTCGTTGTCGCCGAGATAGACCGCAGAGCCGTCGGGGTTGTTGTAAGGGAGGCGGATCTTTTGGATGTTGCGGCCCGTCACGTTGACTATGCCATTGCGTTCGCCGCTCCCGTCGCGGGTGTATATTCGGGCCTGGAGGAGCCCGGTCTGGGACCTGGCGCTAAGAGCGATTGCAAGGTCCTCGGTCGTGTCCGTCCACGTGTCCGGGATGCGGCTGGCGTACCAGCTATTGAGACCCTTCTGGAGGAGGATGCGGGAGGCGATGGTTCGGCAGTTGGAGCGCACGAGCTCGAGGTCGGCGGTGATCTTGGCGGCCTTGAGCGAGGCGGTCAGGGCGAGCGACTCCTTGCGAACCTGGATGACGAAGCGGTGGACGAAGAACCATGTTGGAAGGGCGACGACGGCGAGCGCGACGAGGACGGCGAGGGTCACGAGCAGCACGAGCTGTTCGCGGATGGCGATGCGCATGGTTCAGTGGCTACCGCGGAGAGTACGGAGCTGGGTCCCGACCCCTTGGCATCGTCTCCCACTGGGGCGCACAGGATAGTCGCCCGGTTGTGATTGACCTAGTCCCTTCGTGTTTCGACTCTCGTCCGACGTTCGAAGCGTC